TTTTCAATACCAAAAGTATAGAAAAAAAGAAATTCTTTGAAGTTTCTTTTATTTCTTCAGGTTTATCCATATTTTTTTGGTACTCAGTCAATTCGATTATCTCTTCGTCATTGTAATCTCTTTCTGTACTGACTACAATAGTGATGGTAATGATGATAATTATGATTAGATACTTCATTTTGGTTTTGTGATCTTTTGAGATTTATTGCACAAAAGGATAATCATAAATGAGCAGTAAAAAAATTCTAAAATAACATTAAGTTATAAAAATCGAAGTTTCAATGGTTTTCGATTTCTCAGTGCTGAATCATCTTCATATGGTAATAGCATAAGATTCAGTAAGTCCATTTGGTTTTCTTATAAGATAGTAGCATAAGAATTAGTAGGTCATTGCACATTGTTCAATCATTTGAGATTGATCTTTACAGCTCGCTGATCTGTAATTTGTCCCTGCGTAGTGAACTGTTGATCATTTCTCTACGTTTTCTACGGTATTTTACGGATTTCTTACGTTGGTAGCAAATATATGCTATTGCCGCAGTCAACGCGATACTTGTCGAAATAGCCGCTGTCAATATTACATAGTATCTGACATAGGTCATAGTGATACTTTTGACTATTTTGTCTTCCATCTCAATGACCGTTTCCAAATGGCTTAATGTATTCCAACGATTTTCTATTTTGAACGTCTTGGTGTTAATGGCGTCCGACATTTCCGGGTCAATATTGGTGAAGTGTTCCATTCTGATCTTTTGGAACTTAATCGTTTCATTGTTTATTACTATTTCTTTTCCCTTTTTCATTTTATAGATTTTGTTTTCACACTGTTCTTGGTTTTCGTCTATGGTGGTATTTTGGGAAAAACAATAATAATAAACATAATCATTATCCATTTTCACCTGTACAATTTCTTCAGGTGTGATCAATGCCTTTTCTGTACATCTAACCCGTTTCCAATGGCTAGGTGTTTGTTTTATGGCTTTCTTGCAGGTTTTTGAATGGAAAATAAATGGTGTTTGTAGTTCGTCGATCGGATTAAAAATGATTTCCGTTGAGCATCCGGTTCTTTCCTCGTAAACCATATATTCGGGTCCAGAATATTTTGATATGCAAAAATCTCCCGTAGTATGGTTATTTGTTTCGATTGATCCAATTTGAAATGGATCTGCCCGCAATAACGTATAATTTTTGTCCGTTTTTATTCCGTTAATTTTTATGATCAATTTTCCTTTCCTAGGAATATCGAAATTTTCCAATTGGCATTCTTCCATGTGCCAATATCTTTTAGGAATATCTTCTCCTATTGTGATTTCCGGGAATAACATTTCCAATGGTGTAACGAACTGTGCATTTTCGGGCTTGAATATTGAATGTATCAGTTTTTCTGCTTCGTTAAATTTGATGCTCAACATTGTCATAATCCGTTCTGATTCGATTTCTGCTTTCACTTCTTCCAAGTCGTCGTGTAATTTTTTGTATTACACTAAGCATTCTTTTGTTAATTTCGACTTCCAACTTACCCAAATTGGGGTCATATCCTTCATTTCCGATATTGAATATGTTTACTAGACCGACTGCTGTTATCAGGTATACCACCACTTTGACTGCAACACCGTGTGATGGAATCTTCGCTGTCGTAGGCGTTGTCTATGTCTTTGTTATGATTTCTTATAACAGTTGGTATTTGGGATCGATCGATCTCTTTCGGAACCCCTTTCAAGAGTATGATGGGGTTGTTACGTCTTGGTTCTTCCGATACCAAGTCATTGGAAGAGTTTATAAGATTGTCGAGCCTCTCTTTTGATTTTTGGTCTTTGGAGAAGACTATTATTTTCCCGTTCGTCATCAATTTGTTTGAGATGACAGCCGTGCCTACTGAGTTTAAGCAAACTAGATTCTTAACGGTTTGCAGCGTATCAGTTGAGGTTTTTTCTTTATTGTAGATGTGTGTTGGTAGTGTCAATAGCCATATCAATAAAAGAATTTTATTTTACTTAAAAGATTAATAAAAAAGTATAAAAAATACAAAAAATATAAATACGTTAACAATGTTATTTCCTGAATCGTCCATTTCGATAGAGTTTTTTTTCGGTATTTTTTTCGGCAAATAATGATTGTTGTCCTCGTCGGAACTTTCTTCGACGATATTCAAAAAATTTGTACAATTTTCCAACTGGTTTTTTATGTTCCACCAATCTTCCGCCTCTCGCGACGAATTGTTGTGCGACAGGTTTTGATGGAAGCAAGAAGTTACATCCGCTCCCCATTATAGCTCGAACGATGTTACTTCAAAACGAGAATGGATGCAACTTCTTTGGTAGGCTTGGCGATTCGAATGGTATATTTTGGCCAGAAGTACCCCAGAATTTCTTGATGAACAAGGACTCCTGGTGCAGACGTGCCAAAGAAAACGCAACGTTCCTGAAATTCTTACTGTGNCTTAATCAATGGAGAAAGAATTTCGTCCATTGATGTTTGTTTGATGGTTTTTCGGTTGCAAATGAGCAGAGCCGGGATGTGTCTTCGGACTTTGTCCGGTATCGATTTTGTTATTATCCACATCCATATACAGAGCGAATATTTTGTGATTTCTTCGGCCACTTCCAATGAGATTTGTAAATCCGAAAAAAATCATCGCCGTATAGGATAATCCGATTAATAGCAATTCTTTACCAAATAATTATGATCGATCGTGACAGAAAAATATAAATTTTATTTTTCGAAATTAAAAAATCAAAATCAAAATACAACGCATTTTTCTATATTCAGAAAAAACACGTGTTTCCAGCTTTAGTTTCAGGGTCACATATTAACATGACTATTCATAGATATCATGTCAGATCGAATCATATATGCTTTCTGAATATCTATCCAGCTGGTCTTAAGATTATAGTTATTATTGGACATATATTTAGATTCTTGTTTAATAAGTGCCTTGTTGTCTAGCACTTTGACATCTTTTCTCCATTTGATGGGAAAAAAACAATAATAATATGTTATATGTCGCTTCCTTGATGGTTGTTGGTAACGACTTTTATGGATTCATTTTATTACCGCGCAGCTTCGGTAATTTGGAGACGCCGTGAATATTCGCGCTGAACAATAACAGGTTTAAAAATTAAGTACACAAAGTTAACGTTAGATTATTAACAAAACGTAATTTTATTTAGTATTTTGGATTGATGGAATAACTTTACAATTATAATAATACACAAATTATAATAAAACAAGAAATATTTTGAACGATGAAATTAAGTTGAAGAGAATTGTGAACGAATGAAGAATTCCAAAAGTGATGTTCGATGTTGATGTTGTAACGATACATGTCTTTCTGACTATTTTCCGATCCTTTTTATATGATTTTGCTAGTCCTTGTCTGCTTTCTTCATGATCTCTTTAGTTAGTATTGTTTATTGTATTTTTCATTACGTCATCGTTATAATTAACAAAACATTATATTATTATTATTATTTTTACAAATTAAAGTGTGTTGAAGAATGTGTGTGTATGATTATGATTATAAATTGTGTTCGTTGTATTTAAAAAAAAAAGGTAATATAAAAAAATATCATAAAGATGTAAAATATTGAATAACAAAAAGGAAAGAACAACAAAGAAAAGAAAAAAAAGTTGTAATTGTTGATCGTGAAGAGGCTGAATTCTTCATGGAACCCATTGGTCCATAAATCGTACCAGATGCCGATATTGTAGCCAAGTTCTATATCCTTGGTAGGCATGATAGCCTCCATATATTGCCATCATAAAGATTGTGGTTTTTATGATGTTCTTTAGCAATTGGATTATCCAACCGATGATTCCCTTGTTTGGAAAGTCTTCTTTCTGGTCCTTTTCCATAATTATTTCTTCAGGTTGACTCATATTTCTATGGTACCCTGTTAACTCGATAATCTCCTCGTCGTCGTAATGGCTTCCGGTTAGAAAATTACATCACTTTTTTTAAAATGATTGTAAACGCAAATTGAGGCAAAAGAAACATTTTAATTAATCAAAAATTTTCAACCTATCTTTGTTGGTTATCCCAACCTCTACCAGGATTATCTCTTTCTTCTTTTTATCGAACACCATTAGATCTGGTTTGTTGTTCTCGATCCATAGTTGAGTTTGAATTGATAAATCAGATTTGATTAATACCCTTTCATTTGACAATACGTTTTCAACTTTGTAGTTTTTTAACTTATTTCGACCACTCAGGCCATATCGTTTAGTGAACATAAAATGAAGACATCTAACAATTTCATTATGACGTCGATTGTAGTCCATATTAGATAATATTGTATATAAGCCAGGGTGACCTTTGTTACTAATCGGTCTTCTTTTTCAATCATTTGTTCAAGATGTGTCAATGCCACACTGTGACATCTTCAGGTCGAAAAACTTTACTATTTATTGTTTCGGAAAATTCGGTTTCAATGTTTGTAAAGTGCTCCATCCGTATTTTGTGGAATTTTATTACTTTTTTGGTTGATGTTGACATCTTGTCCTTTTTTAATCTTATACACCTTTTTTTCACAAACTTCAGCATTTCCATTAATAGTGGTGTTTTGAGTGCTATGTGAAACTGATTCTGTTTATCAAAACGATTTTTCAATTGAGCAATAATTTGACTGGGCAGATCACATTCTAATAAGGCAGAACGAATATCTTCACGAATAAAACAAAGAATACGAGCATGAAGCATTTTATGTTTCTTGGTTGTTTCCAGATTTACATTCTGTTCAGAAGTGATATCCAATAACTCACTTAAACCAAGACTATCGGCCAATTTCCTTACTTGCGTTAGATTTCTATCAGTATACAACTCTTCTGGATAATCTCCTTTTAATAAGTAGGCTGGAATGAATCCAGTACTGCAATGTAGACAATCTGCGATTATGTGTTGATATTTGTTTTTGATGAATTTATATGTGTTATTCCAAACGTTGGTAGACTTGTCTTCTGTTTGGATAAAATTTTACCACTCTTGTTTCGATTTCTCAGCGATGAGCTTGGTGAGATTTTTCTTTAATGCGATATATTTATTGCGATAAATGTTTTTGAGGATTGGGTTGGTGGTTTTATGTAGTGTGATGAATTTTTGTTGCCGAAGAAGAAGATTTTAGAAAATATCTTTATTTAAACAAATTAACACAAAGAAAATGAAATAAACAAAAATGAACGAGTGAAGAGCATTACAAAGACAAAGATTATGAAATCACGCAATATTGTTCGTTCATTAATTAAAGTTTCGAAATCCATTATTTTATGAATTAGACCCTGTGTTAAAAAAAAAATTATCATTATTTGGATTAATAGTAGTTTAATTGATTATCAATACCCTTTTTTTATTGTTTATAATTTTATTCAAAGTTAATTCACCAAAAATAAGAAATGATTCTTTGAAGAAGAGGTTTTTTTGTTGGTGAATTTGTTGCGATAAAGTTTCTTTTATTATGTCTTGGATGATCCAAGATTGGTTCTACTTGTTATATATGAAAAAAACTAATGAGGTTATTTAAAAAAAAAACATGAATTAAATAAAGCCGAAATATCGATTTTTTTTTTTAAATCTTTCAATCTAGTAATCATTTGTCGATATGATCCACTTCATGAATTTTATAAGAATTGTGAAGAATGATGAGTAGATGCATGTGCGGCAATCCACGTTTTTGAAATTCTATAGTGTAGCAATAGCCACTTACGGGCCCAAAAAGTTGTTAACAAAAATAACAAAAAATCATAAAATAGAAAACACACGTGAACACTCAGACAACAAGAAAAGGAAATAAAGGAAAAAAACACATTCACACACAACTACCTGACACACACACACACATACAACGTATATTTGTGGCGTTCATTTGATTTGAAAATTATCGGATCGAAAAAAAGAAGAAAATCTTTGGATTTTTTTTGGATATCATTTTTTTCCCATCTTCTT